ACTGCTAAATTAGGGACGGCTAGCGCAGATAGCCCTCGTGTAGCTTTGTGCGAAATTCCAAAACAAACAAACGGGTTGACGGTTATTATTGATTATTCATTGCCAACTTTTAAGCATAAATTTGCTAATTTTTATGACATTCTCATAACTAAAGAGTGTTTAGCGTTACGTGATACTAGCGTAAATAATGATGCTTGATACGGCTGTACCGAGCGATGACAGAAACTGTTAATGGCGTTACTATAAAGGAAGTTACTAACACTATTTTAGAGAGGAAAACTACCACCATATATTTTAAAGAATCTGGTTGGTTCTGTAAAATATATGTCTGTTCCGAATAAGAGGGTTGCATCTTAAAGCTAATGTTGGTTAGTATGGCTTGTTGGTGTGTATTGACAAAATGTCATGATACCAAATCAAAAACACCTTAGGTGTGAAAAAATATGTGCGGCCAACAAAAGGATTGAGCTTGCGAGTTAAAGGAATGAAATCAAAATTGGCGGCCAGACTGATAGCCGCATATAGCATTGATAAGAATTTTACAGGAAATATTCATTCATTAGTTAGCCAGGCCTGGCTAACACTAACCAGATTTTGGTTTTCAACTCATCTGTGTTATTGACGAAATATTTCATCCGTCAGATGTTTTAAATGGTCAAATAATCCGAAAGCGATAAAGTTGTTTGTTTGTTAATATTCTTGTTTGTACCTTACGAAAAACAAATTTTGAATAAACAGAGGCCAGACGTACGCGAAATGTTTGTGTAAATAGATTGCTCTGTTTGACACTTTGTATGAACGTGATATCAGTAGATATTCCTGACACCACCTCTAGAGGCAAGTAAATATAAAAGCTTCTCATTTATTAGATGGTGCTACAGTGAAAATAACTAGTTACAAGTTAATTCATTAACATTTATTATAAATAGCCAGGTGTTTGCATATTTACATAAAGAGTAACCTGAACATGTTTCTATGGATACAGTTTAGCTTCACTTTCAAGAGTGAAGTATGATTTATTTGATCTACTACAGTTTTGACATGAAGAAGATTGAGATTTTCTGTGTAAATGATTGCTCTAAACCAGTAATGGAAATACAGAATGACGCTCATTGCTATATGGTAATGATGCTGAGTTACTGCTTACAACGTTATACTTCTACTTAGATTTATATTTTGTACAGTTCCATACATTTCTTGTCAAACTCTGAAGCAAATCTTGTAGAGTACTGGTAGATGAAAAATGCTTTATACACATATAAAAATCCCAATATACAGCAATAAGCTTAAATATACGTGATCGTACTTTAAGTCTTTATTTTATGGGATATCTCGTTATTTCGCACGTAGGCTTTGTGATAACTTTTCAAGTGCAAACATATTAATTCAGTAGCAAAGCCATTTTGTTACTTTTAATTTTTTTTCTGCTTTTTGGCGGACTTTTTATATTAATCTGAAGAAATATTTCATTTCTAAATGATCCAGAAATACTCAGTGCTATACATCAACATATAGTTTTGCTGTTATGTCTCATAATGGTGAAAGTTTCAGTAAAATCGTAAGTGCTGTAGGTTTTCCGTGAAATTCTATGAATCGCACATTCTGAACTTACCTATCTCTTTTCACACATGTGTATCAAAAGTAAAAGAAATCCTTTCACCTGATAAGTTGAATCAATAAAAATCAATCAGCCCATACTGCAAAAAAAACATGTAATGATATAAATTATATTATTTTATTGAGCACTCTAAAAGGGGTATAAATGGGTCCACGAATGATGAGAGGTGGTCAGGATTGTTCAAAGCCTGAATAAGTAAGGAAGGGTCCCTAGGGTTTTACTGGAAACATATGGGCTTTACCTCCGTTTGATTTCTTCATGATCTTTAATGCTAGATGCACAAAGAACACAAAACTTCAGTTCTCCAGGGGAAAAATTCAACATGCTTAGAACATAGCAAACACAAAGTCTTCTTGAAGCTTACTACAGGAATGGAGACAATGCTGGTACATCTCATTTCTCTAAGCACGTTCAACACACTTTGGTTTCATCCCCCAGCGCCAATTCTGCTTACCAAAAATGGCCCGCTGGGCACTTCTTATGATCTATGATATGTCGTTAAACAAACTTTTTTTCAGGTTGGACTGGTTTAGCAGTTTATCAAATTCTCCTTACTTTGAAGTTAGTTATTGCAACAGACAGTAAACCTAGTACCTTTTATAGCTTTCTTATTGACCTTTTTTCAGCGATAGCTTGAATTCCATTTCTAGTTAAATCTAAATGCTCTTGTTTAGTCGTGTGCAATGCATCGTTCACCACCTATGTCTCATTTATATATCCCACATTACTATATAACCACAGTGAAATGTCTAGAACCATAATCACCAAAACAGCGTAATAAGTAAGTAGCTTTATAGTTTTTAATCTGTTTATTTAGTTAGCATCTGGATATTAAGTGACAGGATCATTTACACGTAGGTATCAAAGCACACAAAAATACAGAAATATTCTCATATCTTTGCAAAATCGTTCGAGTCAAGCATTTTGTCCTTTGAATGAATAAGAAAATATAAATAAGGTAACCTATCGTTTATTGTTTTATTGGAAATCTATCCTTTATTTATAAACTAATCTCATATGAATTTTCCCTATATTAACTTAGTTCTTTTTCTGTACATGTCACACGCATATATATATATATATAACTGCTTTAAAGTTATTATGTATTGTATATTGCATTTATACAAAGCTAATAAGGCTATTTGCTGCGGTCTCTAATTTTGAGCTATTGACTCGAAGAAAAGCAGCATCCTACCACCCACCATTCACCCCAAGGTATTAAATATTACTCTTATAAAGCACCGCAGCTTAAATTTTGGGAAAACAAATATTGTAATATCGCACGGATTCAAACCCGGCTCGCCAGCTCAGAAATGTAGAGGACCAAATCGCGATGCTTTATAGTCATATCGTTAATTATTCACGTCCAGAAACTATTTGTGGCTGTAAATTGACATACATTAAATGACCTTGTGCTATGTTTCACTAATCTGTTACACGTACACCTGTTTTTGTTATAGTATTCGTATAGTTTCAATTGAATGAGGTCTTGCGTACTCCAGAAACTGAGTAATTTGCTTAGTTAACTTGAATTATGTTGTACACATGATTTTTTTAGCCATCAGCAACACTAGCAACGAACAAATGTTTGTGTTACAATATAAGTATGTTGCATACATGATTTTTTTAGCCATCAGCAACATTAGCAATGAACAAATGTTTGTGTTACAATATAACTATGTTGTACACATGATTTTATTTTAGCCAACAGCAACATTAGCAACGAACAAAGTTGTCTGTTACAATATAAACTAGTCATCGCTTATCATTTCATTTGAACAATTATATTTAATTTTCATTTGTAAAAAAACGAATGAATAAAAATTTTCAGTCTTTAGTAAAAAATTATTCAGTTCTAAAAGATGCACTGAAACTGATTCGAACAGGCAGTTTACGTGTAAAGTTCGTAAGCTTTTTATAGAAAAAAAGACAAAGAGTTGAAACCAACAAAAGATGATTTTATTTTAAAGAAATAGAATGCACGTTAAGAGTTGACAAGGAAAAAAAAAGTTTTTCACTACGAGTCCATTCTTCATGTTATCGTAATGACTTGCTTATAGCACAACAAGTGTGCCATCCCAAATCAAAAGTACATTTTAAGACTAACGAAGAAATAAGCAAAATCAAATAACTTGTAAAACTTAGTGAATTGAATGATATTATTATTGATACCATTATCCGTGATACATTGAATTAGTTGGCCACCCTTACAATTCAGCAGTTTACTGTTGTAAAGAAAATTGTTGTAATAGTTAAAAAAATGTTTGTAACTTTTTAAAGCAAAATATAATCACAAATAAAAATATACTATGTGTATTGATAAACTATTTTCAGAATAAGAAATTTAATTCATTTAAAATGTAATTTTCGATAATAAACAGTCGTTTTATATTTACTTTTTTTTATTGTTGGGCTATGCAATATATAAAAACAATGTAAAATTCGGAATATTTTAAGAGATCTATGTCCCTATTTTTAACATTCTATTCTTTTTGTTCAGCAATAATATGCGAAATAAATTCTGATATAGTATGCTTTGCTGTCTTTCTAAAAAATACTTATAATACCCAAACTCACATATACGTGAAACGTCTTAGTAAACAGTTTGAACTTCTTTTGCCTTTCATACAATTTTGAAAATTTCAAGTAATTTGTTATTAAAATGACTAGCAGTTTGTTGCCATTTTTTTGCAATGTAATGGTAACCATTTTTCAAAGCATCTCGTGTATTTTTTCAGTAATGAATTTCCATGTAAGTATCTTTTTTTATAAACCTTTTAGTTTTTTATGGTGATTGTTAATGTGCATATTTTGTTTTATAATCTGACTAAAGAGATTACAGTAAGACAAAAGCTCGATTTGCAGATCTAAAAAAAGAGTACAATTCATTACAAATAATGTGGAAGAAATAACTAAATGAGCAAACACTAACAAAATTTAGAATTGGCAAACAAACAAACTTATAGAATTGCCATTACTTCATTTCTGTATTCAACACTATACACTTCGGCTCATATCTTTTTTTTTTAAACTAATATTACTCCCTTAACACCGGATATCCTATAAATGTGAAAATGAATAACCTTATCTTTTACAGTTTAAAAGTAATTTGTGTATATTACTTACGAAAAGCAAGAAAGAATCTTCAATAGCCGCGGAACTTGAAATTCTTTTAGGCAGGATTAAATTAAATTAATCTATGAGACCTTTTTTTCCTTTTTATTAGCTATATTTTGTGTGCCAGCAATATCAAGCGTGGGGTGCGCGTATACCCGATTCGATTTTAT